GGTGAGTGCTGTGACCATAAGTACGCATTTGTGAACGATTTGTGACGCTGGTTGACGGTGACGTGTGTGTGGAATGGTGTGAGTAACGTCTTGGATGTTAGCATCGTATCATCTGTGACGACATGATGTTTTCGACATGATTGCAACCCCGTAAAACAACAAAGAGCTTTTCACAACGGTGTTAAGACGGCTTTTCATTACACTGTTGGTTTTGTATTGCTTGTTTCGTGTTTGTATTTCTTACGCGAATATGTATTTCAGACTACGGGTTGTGTGAAGTATGACATGGATCAATGGATGGAAGCTAACGCTTGCAATGTCATTTTTTTAAAGATGGTCATTTATATGCCTATACAAGTTTGAAGTTCGTGTATTTGGCATCCAGTATAAGGGACCTCAGTTTGTACTTCACAAAGAAACTGTTGCACCTACACAAATAAATAGCTATTGATTAATATTATCAAATGTCAAAAATTAGACACTACCCAGCGTTGAGATCATTTTGCTGCCTATAGGCCTACTTCCAAGTCACGCTTCGTGTCACTGGATAACTAGGAGAACATTACATAACTAGTGGAATATAACTAGGGGACTAATCTTATTAGACCCAAATTAGTCCGCCTCAGGTTGAAACCTGGAACTTCATCCATTCATCCATTCATAGCTCGTTCACGTTGGGATGTAAGTGGAGTGTAAAGTAGATTATTGACCTAACCTTAGTGAACCTATTTCATAGAACCTCCATAGAAACAGCTTCTAGGTCGGCCGTCTAGTTCAAGCCAAATCCCCCAAGCAGTTGACTTGATTCACTGTTGCACCACATGTCAATGTTTTACATGCAGCGCAGGTGAAGCTTCTGAGCTGCGTTCGCCGGCGGTCAAAAGCTGTGCAATACCTCGACGGGTTGCCCACAGCCTCGGGCAAATTTCTCACGAGAACTGCCGGCTGTCACGAAACACGGTCCATCACGGTTTGATGCAGCTAACGGGCCGTGGAGCGTCCGTGATTGCATGTTACTATGACCACTAATATATCCGAATCAACAGTATCTATTGGCGGAATATAAAGTCAGTTCATCTGCAAATAATTTGACTGACACTATTTTCGGACACATTGGTATGGCGTGTGATGCAATCGGCAAGCGATGCCGGCGTTGTGTTCAATTTGCTGCTGATGATGCGCAATGGCCTCTGATGAGCGCCAATGGAGTTCGACAGCAATCAAATGCAAGTTGTTCGTTATGAAGTGCTGGTACAAATGCGATGATGCGCCATGCTTGCGGCTGGTGGTCTCACGACACGAGGCATCGTGAATGTGCTTCGTCCTTACATGCGATTGTAAAATAAGAGCGGCTGTCTTTTGAAGAAAGAAAATGCGAGTAAGTCAGCCTTCATCGGACAGAAATGAAAGGAAAATGCAATCGAGTCCCCACAAAGCACAGCCGGCGGAAAAAAATAAATGAACACAATAATCACTTTTGTTGAGATTGGCTCTGAGGAATTCAGCGCGCAGCCACCTGACCGTGACACACTGGGGAAAGAAAACAGACCTTTCCATTCTCATCACCTCTTGCCCGAGGCAGTCCCAACTGCATCAGATGCGACACTAACGGAATCGATTGTTAACCGAATCTTCGTCCCGGGGGCAGTCATGACAAGTGGGTCACCATCTCAAATGCGATCAACAGGACCGGCCCCCTCGTCTTCCACTCGACGTCCCACTTGACTGTCAACTTGAGCGCCCTCTTGAACGTCTTCTTGAGCGCGGCTTCGTTCCACTGGAGCCGATTTGACCCATCACGAACGACTCTATTGTGAAGCAGGGCACCCATCGGCCTCGTGTTATTGTTTCACAAGTTGTTTTGTTTCGGGAGACGCGGAGGTCGATGCAGAAGATGCTTTGTTTCTCGCGAGGGCAAGGTTTAGAGTCATGACGCGTCCCGATAGAGAAATGCAGACATAATGAGAAACTGATACAAGCTGTGATGGATGACCCCTGCATTGTATTTCTACACATGCTTATCATACTCTCCTGTCATTTCTGGCCGAGAGGATGAATGGAATGTAGGTGTATGGCACAATCCCAAAACAAATGCTCGTTAAGACCACCCAATACGGAGGAATGCCTTTCGAGGCATGACAAAAATAGCGTCACCTTAAATCAGCTGATTTTTTTCTTTGGATCGTCAATCCCTACCCGAGTCAATTCGCATCAGTTACAGGATTACCGAAATTTAATATACCTACACTTTCATCGTGTGAGGGACAACTTTTTCGCTTTGCCTACCTATGGGTCGCATGTTGAAACCAGCGAACATTTATTAATATTTTTATTCACATTAAAATTAAGCTAACAACTAACTGATTTTGAAATAGCGATTAGCATAACCGCGTGTCGATTCGAACAGTTCAGAGTCAAGGCCTTTTTCACTCTGCACATTCATCGCATACCATGCATCTCGTGGTTAGCGAAATCTCACACCAGCACATACCAGCGAACTGGCGGCGGGGGTGGCAGCGGCGGGGGCGGCTGCGGCGGGGGCGGCTGCGGCGGGGGCGGCAGATGCAGATGCAGATGCAGATGCAGATGAGTCTTCGGGGGAATAGCCTTTGCATCGGCTCCCCCATAGATGCCCTATTTGGTTATAGGGGTACTGGGAAAAGGATGAGGATGGAGGCTGCATGTCTTTCTACATTTGCTCATGTTCCTTCCAGACGCTTTTGACGGATTCTCCATAGACAGTGCAGCTTCTCCTTCCTCTCTTCCGCATCCTCTTCCCGTTCGTCATTGAAGAGAAAGTCTCTCATGATCTCCTGAGTGTCTTCTATGTGAGGTCGTTGTAGGGACTCGATATTACTTCTAACATCCATGAGTCTGTTACATTTCAATAGAAAGTGCTCCATGTCTTCATTCTCCTCTCCACATAGTTGGCATAATGTGTCTTCATCGGTGTGTCGTCTTCTTTCTTGTAGGGGTAGCGAATTCGTTCTAGCTCGAAAGAGAGTGACCGCTGCTGGGGTGTTGTCATAGATAGTCTCTTCTCTTATACGTTGTTTGCTTGCTTTGTATAGCTGTAGGCTTACTTTGCTTCCTATTTCTTCCATCCATTGTTTTGCATCCCATTTGTTTATTTCTTTGTCTATATCCTTTTTGCTTTTATCTTTTAGGGCATGTAATCTTATTTGCAGTGATGACAGGTACTTCTCGGTTGTCTTCGCCCATTTGCTTTCTTTCCTTTCAAGCTCTATTTCCATTACTTTCTTTAGTAGTTCATTTCGTCCTTGCAGTGTCGTTCTTATATATTGAAGGTGACTTTTCATTATTCTTGTCTTCATTAGTGATGAACCGATTTCTCCTCTTAATGTGCAATTTGGTGCATATTTCGGTGCTCCTAGAATCTTCCTGTAGACCCCGTTTTCAATAGTCTGTAGTTGCTTGATTTCTGTTTCTGTAAGTGTCATAACATTGACTCCATATAGGATTGCTGGTAGGGCAATGCTTTTCCAATAGGTTTTCCCAATCATAATCTTATTACAACTTTTACTTATGATGCTATATGTCATATTTGACAGCTTATGGGCTTTCTTGATCATTAGGTTCTTCTGTTCCTTGAATACATCCTTCTTGTTGAGAATCGTCACTCCCAAGTATTTGACTTCTGTTGTAACAGGTATCCCTCCGATTTCTGTAATGTTCTCACTGTTTTCGCAAGTTTCATTTACGATCAATATCTCACTTTTTCTTTTGTTTACTTTCATTCCGTATTCTTCACTTGATGCTACAAGTACCTCAAGCATTAGCTCTGTTTCCTTCTTTGAATGAGACAGCATCAAACCATCATCTGCAAACAGAAGTAAGGGGAGATAGATATTCCTATCATTGTATCCCATTCTTGTGGCCATCAGCTTCCTTGCAATTTCATACGTGATCAGCTTGAACAGCGTGGTGCTACCAGTGCAGCCCTGTCTTATACCACTGGTTACTTTGAGTTTTTCTTCTGTAGCACTACTGAGCCTAATCGTTGTGAAGTCGCCGTGATATATACTTGCTACCGATGAGATGATATCGGGATGGATCTTATATCTTTGCATGACTTTGATCATTGGGCCTCTCTTGACTGAATCAAAGGCTTTTTCAAAATCAATGGCTGTCACATATAGCGGTCTCTTTCTTTTATAACTTTGTTCGACGCAGTAGCTTAGAAGAAAGAGATTGTCCTCAACACGTCCTCCAGCAGTAAAGCCTGCTTGAGTTTCCATTAAGGCTCCGTTCACCAGTAGATGTTCTTCGATTTCGTTTTTGATCATGCTCATATATATCTTATATGATGCGTTGGTCAGTGCTATTGGTCGTAGTTGCCGTGCTGTTGGTTTGCTTGTTTTAGGTATCATCTTTGTATGTGATCCTTTCCATGAATCCGGCTTCGTGTCAGATGTCAGTTCGTTTTGCATACATGTTGTTAGCACTTTAAGGCCTTTGTCGCTTTTGATTAACTCTTTGTACAGCTCGTTCTTCAACCCGTCTGGCCCAGGAGTGGTTTTTGTTTTCGTTTTATTTATTATAGCCCTCACCTGCGCTCCATCAGGCTGAGGATCTTCCATTGGTTCAACGACATTGTTGATGTACATGGCCATGTCCATATGTTCGCATAGATGCCTAGGAAAGCATTTGTTCCGTGCCTGTTCTTTCATTTCCTCAGTATAACTTCGTCTTTCTTCTTCATTCCAATGCTCGTCAATATCGTTATTATGCTGCTGGTATATGCTGGTCCAGTAGCTGATAAGTTTTTCTTTCTCCTCAAGGTGGTCGAGAATTTTGGCATTTTCGTCATATAGACGTACTTCTTCTTTAATACGCTCTTTCTTCCTGAGTTTGTCTATATTTTCCCATAGCGATTTACTTTTGTTTTCACTGCTTCGAATTTCCTTTGTTATCTTTTTTTCTGTCACTGTTATTGCTTCTTTAATCAGGCGCTGTGTCTTCTGTTTTTGCTCTTTGTACTTTTGTTCAAGGGTGACTTTTTTAGCATCATCTATTGCATTTCTTTTCATGCGGTTCAGGTCCTTTCTTTTCTTTATTGCTTCTCTGATAGCTTCCGTAATCCATGGTGGCTCTTTCCTTGAATATTGTCTACTCAATCTCCTTTTGTAGACAGCTACAAGTAGAGTCTCTGCCACCTCTTTCATCATGCTGTTAAGCACTTCAAATTTTTGGACTTCTGTTGTCCTCAGCCTTCTATTCATCTCTTCTCCGAATTTCTGCATGGACTTTTGGTCCGTTTTCATGTAGCTCTCTCTGATTACTTTATCCTTTTTGAAGTTGTTGTCAACATGTGGTAGCATAAAACTAGTTGTAACCACATTATGGTCGGATACATCAGTTATTTCCTTTCCCTCATCCACTTGCATCCCTTGAAAGTATCTATAGCATTCTTTGTTTGAAAGGACATAGTCGATAACACTTTTTTGATCTTGTCTCGACCATGTAAACATACCTTGACATGCTCTGTCCAGATTTAATAGGGTCATGTTAAGGTTATCAATCCAATTCAGTATGATGCGTCCATTTTCATCTTCTTTCTGATATCCCAAGAGGTCAATATGTCCATTGAAGTCTCCAAGTACGATGGCTGCTTCACTTTTTTCCTGAACTCCTTCCAGAATTCCTTCGATTTCCTTTTTCATTTCTTGGTTGCGTATCTTGTCATCCATTGTTTTTATGATTGAAAAGTACACCAGAATCAGGTGAATCTTGAGGCTGTTTGCCTTAATCTTCCCGTACAGGATATCCACATTTTTCGTCTCCATCTTCTCTACCTCAAACCAGGAGTCTTTCCTGTATATCATTAGTAGACCACCCCCTTTTTTGTCTTGCTGATTTCTCATTTTTTCGATCTTTTCTATGCCATCTGGCCACATTAGCTTGTCATGCCTAAGTTGAGTCTCTGTCAAACACAACAGGTTTGCCTTTTGACTGACCATATCTATAATTTCTATCTGCTTAGCTCTGGTTAGCCCTTGGATGTTCAAAAGTTGGATGACAAGTATACTACCTTTAGCAGTCCTTTCTTCAAGTTCACTCTGCTTCTTTTTCTTCCTTACTTCACAGACTTGTTTCCCTTCCGTTCTACCACCTTACCATGGTAGATTACGTGGGTTTCTCTGCCTTTCTTGTTCCATTCTTCCCGTAGTTTTCTTTGTTTTTCCCGTTGTTCTGGGTCGAGGTCTCTCGATATGTATGTGTTTTCGATTCCCTTTCTTTTCAAATCAAATCTTCTTTTGTATAGGACTTCAGCTTCTTCTTTTGTGCCTAGTTTCAGCAGCATGATTCTGGGTTTATTTTGTTTGTTTTCCCGAGATTCCGTTTGGTCTGATCCTCTCGCCGCTGTGTCTGACTTTCTTGGGTGTCTTCTGAGTCTTAGGATACTTTTTATGCTTATGTTTGCTACTCCTAGTGCTTCTGTGATGTTCTTGACCTTCTTCAGGTCATCTTCTCTTTGTTGTTCACTGTTCTCAGATCGACTTTCGGGCACGTTATGGATGAGTATGTTGGTTGCTCTGTCTTCCGTATCCTTTGTTTTCATCACTTTCTTGATATCTTCTACTATCTTGTCAACTTTTGGTATGACATCAAGTCTTGCGCTGAGTGTGCTCACTACCTTTTCTACATGTTTTTCACATGTTTGTTTAGCCGCATCAGCATACGTCTTCTCTGAATCTCTTACTTCTCCGATGCTGCTCACTGCCAGGCTTTCAACCTTGTTGATGATTGTTTCATTTTGTTCATGTAGAGTATTCAGGTTCCTTCCTTGCAGCTCACCTAGCTGTACAAGGACTTGTTCATGATCATCCGCAGTTTTTTTGATGACTCTCATTTGATCTTTGATGGTGTCTGTAAGAGCATCTATTTTTTCCTCCAGTTTCTTCATTTCTTTTTCTTTGTTTTTGTCTAGTCTTATCTTGACCTTGCATTCTTTGCAGATCCATGCTAGCATATCTTGGTGCTCCTGCAGTGCTTCATATGCCTCAGATGTCACCCCCTGACATGTTCCGTGATACCATCTGTGACACAAGTCACATGCAACACCCTCATCATCATCTCCAACCGGTAAACCACATGTCACACCCGGTGCTCCTTTACATGTTTCCTCCTTACTGAGATCTACCGATGACCTGTGTCCTGGCTCGAATGGTTCATATGCACTCAAGTCCAACCTGCCTATCTGTTTTTCTTTTGGAGTCAGACTTTTAGTCTCTACTGATCTTTGCACTTTACCCCTGGGTTCGCCTTTCGGGTGACCTTTGTCGGCTTTGTTCATTTCCCTTTTATTCTTTGGTCTCAGAGTTGTTTGTTTCAGCATAGGGGTTTTCTTTGAGTTTGTTGGCGAGACGCCCATATCAATATTAGAATGAACTCTTACAACTCACACACAGATCTCAACTTAATATAGGTCGGTACAGTGCAAGTGCGGATCATACAGTCATACAGTCAGTGAAAGGCTTGCCTTCACGATCCCAATTCATGCAAGTGCACCAGCATTCAGCAGACAGCACCAAGGCGACAGCACCAGCAAGCACTTTAAGCTTTCATATACAGCCTTGCTTTTACTTCTTGTGTAGGTTCTGCAGCGTGCAACCAGCAACATGCGCCACGGCGGCGGCGGCGGCGGTGCCGACATATTCGCCGCTACCTGTGCACTGTGCAACGTGCATTTCAACCGCGGCCCGTCCGCACCAATTAATCCGTGCACGACCGCCGCTCCGAGGCGTGCAGACTTGGTCGCGGAGGGCACGATTTCGGCAAACTATCCACTCGAGTTGACTGATGCTGCTCAACAGTGACCTCTGCTGACCTCAGCGGGTGACCTCCGCTGGCCCCATCACTGCCCTCGGCTGACCCTACGCCAGCTCGCAGACTGATTCCGACACCTCGCTGGCGATCCGCCAGTGACCTGGGACGATGACCCGACCCCCCCTCCCCCATACCTCACCCACTGACCTGACCTGACCCGCCCTCGGTGTCAAGTTTTCAAATACACCGCCGGCGAGCCCGCCGACCTTGCAGTTTGCGAATGCAGCGAGGAGCGTCGTCTCGCTCGGCTCATTTCGTCCATGAGAGATGGGTAGAGATGGAGTCATTTATTCGCAGTCGAGATAGTACTCCAATCTAATGAGTCATTAGTAAGCAATGAAGGCGCCGTGCACTCACGCCTCTGACTATATAAGCGGGGCGACTGATGGGTCATCTCGGGCGCCGTTATGGACATATCGTGCGTGGCGGTTTGCCGAAAACCGGCAAAATCACTGTCTTGCCCTTGGCCTCGTATGCCCATCGTTTACATACATCTTCCTTCACATGAGAGCCAACCACTGACAACTGCCATCACACATGGACTAGAGTCTTTCCGCCCTGCATCTGGGCTTCAATAGACAATCCTCAAGTGGCCATCAGGGAAGCAATCGTGAGTAATAACACATCTTACTCGTCGGGGTAGCCATAACCGGGCCACGCAGCACGGAAGTGAACTCCAACTCAACCGCTGGGTTCGGTTTCCCATACGGACGTCTAGAGGACGCGCCAGCTGATGACGTGGCCTGAACGGGGTCAGGTGCGTGCCGTCCGCACGTGACCCCGTGACCTCTGATCAGTCAAGGTCAGTATCGTGCACTGGCGGGTCGCCGCTGGCAATTGGAAGATTGGTAGCGTCGACAGTGGTGATGTGGGGGAAGATGGAATCGAGATCGGTCTCAGGGACAGGGTAGATCGACTGCTGCCGCGTTGGACTGGCTGCTTTATTGCAGACGGCACAGCCAATCGGTCTTCCACATGAGCTTGTACTTTGTAGCATAGTTTATGTGGGCGAGAATTGGGTATTTGCACCAGTTTACACCATTTTCACTGTATTTTCTCTCCCGTTCTCTCTGTCTCTGTCTCTGTTTCTCTCTCTCTCTCTCTCTCTCTCTCTCTCTCTCTCTCTCTCTCTCTCTCTCTCTCTCTCTCTCTCTCTCCATCTCTCTCCTTCATTCCTCATTTCTTTCCAAATATGTTTCTCTATCTCCTTTTCAAGCATTCTCTCGCTCTTTCCCGTTCTCTATTTTTTTATACCTACTTTGTTTACTTACCCATTCACATATCTCTTATTGTTTACTCTTCGCGTCAACAATGTGAATTTGACGGTCTACTTTATCTTACCCAGTGTCACTGGCAATCTTGTAGGTAATCTGCTCTTGCTATAACTTACATCTGCATTCTAGCTCCGTTCGTTATAATGTCGTCTGTTATAAAACCCGATATTATCGTTATGTGAAATTTTCGCTCTTTGAGCAAACATCTCATGCACCAGCGCCCCAATAAATTTAACAAACAACCCTATGGTCATTATTCAAATGAGCTGGTTTCGTTACCTGACATCAGCGCCTGTAATCGACTGACCGTGTCGATCACTCCCCATTCACTGACAATAAAGTCAGCTGTGTCATCAGCCGTGGTCTTGCAGCAGAGACCGTGCACTGTCACTGGTGCTGCGGTCCCGCCACGCGCGATTAAATAGCTCTGATACGAATTTGATTGCGGCGTCTCCGCCCGTGTCTCATCACGAATAGGTATCACTCGAGGGGTGGGATGCCATGGGGACATCTGAGGTCTAGTGCTTAATTACGACCGACCTACCTCACATAAGAATCCGCACAAAATTACGACCCCAGACAGCGTAGTATCAAATCACGCCGACGTAGAATTACGTCTGTCCGTCCATGACGCAACATTTGCTGTAGCGCTCCAGGGAAGATTCGTGAACCCTTTGGCAATTAGATGACAAAATGGCCACATAAGTCATATACGGGGCCAGCGCTGCAGGCAGAAGACGCCCAGACCATCCGAAGGTGGGTCGCCCGGTCTTATAATGGGATGGTGGCTGGAGAGACGTAATTTGTCGTTCGTGTTGTGCATATCGGTCTTGTGTGCCGTGTGGAAAGGGAGGGGGAGAGAGAGAGAGAGAGAGAGAGAGAGAGAGAGAGAGAGAGAGAGAGAGAGAGAGAGAGAGAGAGAGAGAGAGAGAGAGAGAGAGAGGAGAGAGAGAGAGAGAGAGAGAGAGAGAGAGAGAGAGAGAGAGAGAGGGAGAGAGAGAGAGAGAGAGAGAGAGAGAGAGAGAGAGGGGGGGGAGAGGGAGAGGGAGAGAGAGGACATAAACAGATAGGCAAGTTTCGTGTAACCTGAATAAACCGCTTAATTCATTGCTCTGGGGGTGACAGGAAACAGGTGACCAAACGGCGCGGATAATTTTATTGGCTACGGAGACCACATATCCAGAGCGTTTTATCCTCAAAAGTGCAGCCTAGTTCATGCTTTCTAATTGCGACTACCGACTGGTGCCGTTGCAGTGGATCATTTAAACGGGTTGTCTTGCTTACGTCATACATGGGTGCAATTCATTAGGAAATCTTGATTTCGAAGAGAAATGAGTACCTAGGTGATGACCGGAAGAAAGGGCGACCTACCTTTTTGTTCACAAACATTTGCATTTTTACCCAGCAGAAAGCTTTGTTATTGGGGCAGTTGACGGATATTGGGTAAAAATGCGATGATGAATGATGAAAAATGTTGACGGAAAAAGCAGTTTGCCAACGGGAAGCTTTTAAATTATCATGTTGCCCTCGAATATCACGTCGCTTAGTAATCATTCCGGGATCCGGCACATGTGCTTATGGTTACATTTGCAAATGTTGGTTAGAACCTACCAATTCTTTTTCTAAGCTAGCCTTAGCACGCCCCATCTAGCACCTCATTTTCACGAGACAAGTAACCTTCCTGAGAAACATTATTGAAATCACGTCTCAACCACGCGATGTGAAAAATGACCCAGAACCATTACCGGTCACGACATCTGCCGCTGATCTCTCCCCAATCTGGCACTGATGATCTCTTCTGCTCTCCGTCCTTCCCTGCCCACCTTTTGGGGTCATCGGTAAGCGTCGCGACCTTGCTCCTATTGTCTGACTGTCCGCCCGCCAGCCGCCGCATCGTTCACTCTCATCTCTGCCCCGAGGCTATGGAACGCTAGACACCGCCCGAGGCGATACAGTCAGCTGGCGAGAACGTACGCTCAGCTGGCGAGAACCACTGCCGGACGCAAATGAGCGCGGAGACGAACAAAAGAGGGCGGGGCGGTGGCTTTCAGTTGAGATGGGCATCGGGTGTGTTTGAGACGGAGCGCCGCGGTCGGCGATGGGTGTAATGGCCGCTAATTGGGAGCGTTTAGCCCGAGAGGGCAGGGTGTGGGTGGTGTTTGGATTGCTGCGGGGCGGCGGGAGGTGTTCAGAGGTCGCCATATTGCTCGGTGCGTGGTGGTGCGCGGTGACCTGCTGAGAGCATGTTGGTCACACTCGGCGGAGATGGAATGGTGTGTGTTGTCAGTGAGGTCGAAGTTGGGGCTGATGTTTAAGTCGAGTAGAATTTACCGAGGCGTGATCGTGAATGTGGTCGAATCAACGTCTGGTTGTAGTATGACTATGAATCGACAAACTTTCAAATTTGCCAGAATATGAAAAAGAATGTAAAGGATACCTACAAACTATTGATCCGAATCCTGAGCTGAGCTAGACATCTGATAACTTATTTTGTTGCGTACTCGGTACTAGTGCGGGGTAGGATTCGTCTTCCTTATAAGCGCAGTTGGCAGTCGATTCATTCTCCGTATTATTTTATCATAACTCCACAATTTTACATCGAAGCACGCCCGCATTTTCCGTATGAGCACTGACCAGGCAGGGCATCATCCATCGGGTCCCTATGCCACCGCATTCCATCTGTAGCCATCCCCCGCTGGTTGTTCCCATCAATGTACCGAGTCGTGAATCGTGATCCACAGACACCGCGCCACATGACGCCTCCTGCGCCACTCCAGGCCACAGTGCGCCACTTCACGTCTCACGCCGCCTCACGCCGCACTGATAAATAGCACCGGGGGTAGCTCGCGATAGCGCGAAGCCTTGCGCCAGTTTCGGCTTAGTTTCCGCTATGGCATCAAGTTCCCCCAAGCGGTGAGATATTTATGAGTAAGACGGTGGGTGGTTTTCGCACGGAAGACACGGTAGAGGGGCTGGGTAAGTGAACACAGGTGGTTTGGGGAGTCAGTGCTGCTCCAGTGATGCTGAGAGTGACGATGAGCTGGATGATTGATGTGAAGACGCTCCGCAGGGGGTACACAAAGCTGCTGCAATGTTGCATTATCGAATGGGAACCAGAGCAACTGATCGTGACCTTGACTGTTTCACCTGATGAGTTTTAGATTAATCATGTGATTTAGAGTGTGAGCCGAGAGGTGTCAAGCATTTCCAAAAGGAAAAGCTTCAGTTTTCACTTTAGATAGGTCAGCTCTGTTGTACGAAGACAGTGTAACCAAACAACAATGTAACCATTTTGCGATATTTTTAACACCGTTCACCGTTGAGCGCTACGGAACACAAAAACTCATTTAGCTGGAATAAGGGGGTAAAAGCACCCCTTGCCACTCGGTG